CACGGTAAAACATTATGATAGTGAAGGTGCGATAGAAAATGTGAATAGCTCAGGGCAGAAGGGGAGATACCACAACTGTTTAGCACACGGTTGGTCAAAGGATAGGCTTACTTGTCTCCTTGTCAAGTTGTTGTATGGTGCTAAGAATGGCGAGACACACTGATGACGCCGACTATGATGCCGGCGAAACGTTTGGGAATGTACCACGTTCAGGGTCTGACTTTGGAAAGCATTATGCATACAATGGACACTGGAATAGGTGCATTCCCCTAAGTCTTCCTACCAATGTGACCAAGTTGCGAAAACAAGGTCAAACAACCTCTAAATAATACGTTTGCTTCATCGAAAATCCCCCAAAGAAATGAGCTATGGGAAAGGCCTTAAAATTCATATATGCCCTTTGACCTAAGCGCTTTTGTGGCAATGTGGCCGAGTGGTTAACGTGTCGAGCTTACAGCGTGCACTCTCATGGTTCGACTCCTGCCATCGTTACCTATATTCCTAGTAAGAAGGTTTATTTTTTTATAAAATATTAAATAAATTTGCATAATAAGATTAAGGACTGATATTTGAATTTTCATACTCCCATTCAAGGTCTACAATTAGTCTCAAAACTCATTTCCTATGACTATAAGTAACGTCGATGATTATAATGGCATAATACAGTTTGTCTCCCCAACAAGCTTATTATAAATATAATAATGGAGAGGCCAGACTCATCTCGAATTTAATGTCTGCCCTGTGACCCACTGGCACCCGTAGCAGTATCGTGCTACGGTAACATGCTTAAAATTGCGCTACTCGAAATAGGCTTAATTTCTTACTGAGGTCCTAATGAGACAGGCAAGGTCGAAACTCCAGTCTTTTGGGATGACAAGGCTAGAATAAGTGCAATGGAATCATGGCAAAATCCAACTGCCAGTCCTTCATTAACTTATTGAACTTAGGGTAACTCGAACTCTTATTTATGATCTATTGTTACTCTTGAAGCCAGGATAGCCTGTATAATCTTATGTGGCATTCGAAACGATGATTTGAGTAGCCCATGTTTAATGGATAACCATTTTAATGTTCAATTTAGCACTAGATAAGCTGTCTAACTTGAACCAGACTTATGATGTTCATTCGGTAATTTCGTTTATACATAGTAATGGCCTGAAAACCGAAATATTTTATAGGCTAGCTTTGAGAAATATGTGCTTCTTCCTTAGATAGAAGCGTTTCATTTCGTCAGGTTTGGCATAAATGATCTCCCTCTATCCACACCTACAAAACGACATCTTTGGCGTCCTTATGAGTTTAATAAATAGGTTAAAAAGGATTTAAAGTATATTACTGAATGAGGTGAATATTATTTACGGCATTGCAGTAGTACTATCGGGAGCAGGTATCACTCGTCCCACGACCCATCCTGGTGGTGCATCATCGGGTGCAAAGAAAACCAGTCTTGGAAACTTTCTCTCCCATAACTGGCAGTCAGGCCACCTCCTCTGCTGACTAGCTCTTGTCTCTTGCTCTGCAGCTTGAGGCACGTCTGCTGACTCCTGCATGAAATCTGATTCACTTGTTTCTATCGGTTGAAGCATCGACCATGCTGGCGTCTCCAGACTAATGTCACTGTGTCTTTCTCTTTTATTGCTATAGTCCTTCTGCTTAATAGAGCCTAATGTTGAGTGAAATAGATTTTGATGAGGTCTCTGAAGATCCAGACTACTGAGAGACCATGTGGTGCCAGAACAGCTGCTTTCAAGAGGAACAGGCGACTCAGCAGGTGGGATGGGTAAGCGGAGTCGAATCAGGATTTGAAGCTCTGTCTCGAGGGCTGGAGTACCCGTGTCCCGGGCAATCACAGTAAAACTGTTGCAAAAAATATCAAAAGTCCACGTTATTCAAAGTAAATTACTCAAGATTTCGCATGAAATATAATATAATTTTCAGATTGTGCATATTTCTATCAGAAATACCCTGATCAATCTCCCTTAATCTTTCCAGTGCTCTCTAATTATGAACGGATATTACGGCTTTCCGACTCCTCTGCTGCAACCGAAGAGTTCTTTATGTTTTTGCTAAAGAATTACTTAGACGTTATCCTCTTCCTGTGTTGTAGTAAGAAAAAAGCAATTTGGGTGACAACGTCTGGACCTTCCTGCACTTTCATAGACAGAAGATCAAGGGTCCGGAACGCTTACAAGTCTTAGATAGAAAGACGAAGATGTTGTGGCCTCTGCTTTGGTCTCAGCCTCCTTTTGCTGTATATAACTGGTTTGGCCTCCTTTTGCTGTATATAACTGGTTTGGCCTCCTTTTTGCAACGTGGTAGTGTTGTCAGCGCGACCTAAAGGAACACACCTTGTAGCACTGAGAGCCCGACCAATTTGCGAAAACCAGGTAAAATCACTTCTATTACGAGTCCTATTCGTAAATGAAAACATCCGTACTGAAAATGACTGGAAGGATAAAGCTTCTATACATTTTTTGGCCTCAAATGCGTGAAGGTCAAGAAGGTGTGGCCTTTACTATGGTAACTATTTTCTGTATAGAAGTATTTTCCGCACCCTGGTTGTATAGTCGTAGTGATCTAGATAAACATATCTTATCTAGTGTCCATAGTATCCATTCCAATTTCCAGTATCAAAAGGCGGATTTGATACAGTTCCAGATAATGCACCGGCATCGTAGTTAGAAGTGCCAGTGAGCCTAGCTATCTTAGCGCCAAACTACAATTTATCAGAGGCAAGTCATTTAGCAAGTAAGTATTGCTTTTTGGGAGACCTCGAGGAAAGTAACCCTTTTTGTGCAATTTTTCATCATTGCCATTTACCATATCTGCATTGTACCATTCACCAGATGCATCCGTCTCTGAGCAAAGGATGGCACTAATCGCTAAAGATACCGATTACAAAGACAGCAAAACGTCTGAAAATGTACTCGGCAAGGGTCCCATATGATTGGAGGCATGAAAATAACGGCTAACGACCAGTTCGGAATTAGTTCTACTAACTCCTCTTGCAAAAACGAGATTACTC